TGGAAACCAGAAATGAATGTGTTTTTGAAACAATACTTTCATTTATAAAAGGGTTACTTTCATATAATCTATGGGTTTGTTGTCTAATATTTTATCACTTGTTTAATAGTGCTTAAGATTATGAAAAATTAAATCATATGACATTATAGAGTAGATACCGATTATTATGTAATACTTGAAAACTTTACACTGGACACTTTGTGTAAATATTATGTCTAATACTTTATTGAGATACCCATAATTTTATATTTTCAAATAATTTAATTCAATATATCATAGCTAGAGTTGTTTTTATGTAAATAAATTAATATTGCATATCTGAAATATACAGTATATTCAACTGAAAATATGAACATTTTAATGAAAACTATACGAAGTAAATGAAAATAAACACACATGATTAAATTATAACTTAAAAGTGTCAAAAAATAATTTTGTCATAAAAATGAATTTAATTTTAAGTTTTCAGACGAGACATAAGCGCATACATTGAGTAAATTATTTGCATTTCTATGACTTTTGCTCACATTATCTCCACATTCACTCGACTTGTATTATGCGGACAATTATCATCACTTTTGACCACTTTTTTTTTAACCACAACGAAGTTATCGATCTTTCGTTTCAGCGACTCTTTGGCCACCAATTGATTACTCAAACTATTGTCACTCTTATTATTACTCAACCCATCGATCGTACCGAAAGTCACCGCAAACTTGGGCCGCACCTCAGTATCGCTGCTGTCATCGCCCGATCCCTCATCGGCTCTAATCCGGGCCAACAGCTCCCTCTCCTCGACCTCCAACTCCTTATCCTTTAGCTTATTGACCGAATGGTGCGGCACTGGTATGCCGACACCCGTCGATCCCACCACACCTTCTAAACGTCCATCTCGTCCATCAAATCGCGGTTCCGTTCATTCAATTGCTTCAAGTTCTCCAACACCTCCGTGGCCTCCAACTCCCGGTGCGACTGTTTCGTGAACTTTTTCATAGGATTCAGGTGCTCCTCCTTCTCCTCCTGTCTGCCCTCCACCTCCCGTTCCTCCCAGTTGTAAAGCTTTGAAAATAGGTGTCACTCCGTGCTCCATATTCTTGAGATCAGTCTTGAGTGTGATGTCAGCCATACAGCGAGGGCACCGCATGTAGATGCGGAACACCTTTAAGCCGAAATATGTCTCCCCCTCTATCATCTCCTTCCGGGCGTTAAACTTCTTGCCCTTCGCTATATAATCGCCGCATGTGTTGCCCCGCATATTGTCGGGTAGTCAGCGGCCATAGCCGTGGGGTCTTCGAGGGGTCGAAGTCCAGCGGATAATATTTTTAGGCACAAAGAGATCCTGGTTAGTTTTGCGTGTTTATAGGGGTGACGTACTTACATTCAAAACCTTGCACTCATACATTGCTTAATTTATAACTGTGCTGTCGATACACTGCCGTAAGAATAGTTAAAATGATTTGTGTAAACGTGTGGCAAAAGTACCAGTATTTAGCGCTCCATATACTGTATTTCAATAGAAAACATTTGTCGCAACTCATATAAGTTAGAAAAAACTTGCTTTTAATGTATAAGTTAATAGTTCTTACAAAAAAATAACCTAGCGCCTGCTTATAAACGCTCTATAGTAAACTACAGTAGAATTGTCTTGGAAATTTTAAATTTTATAAATTTATACCAACGGAATATTATATACAAAGGTTCTACATAACCCCGAATAAATATTTTAATAACATACATATTGAATTTATTTAAATATTGATTTGAATTAATAATTCAGTAACTTTCTAAATACAAATCAAATGTTTGAGTTTTACTACATAAATCTATAAAAAGTTATATTTTATTTTTAAATTAAATTACCCAGCAAATATTGCTTACAGTTAAAGGCAACACATTTCCATTGACTAGAATTTATGCCATAATTTTAATAACAAATTAAAATTTAGATACTTTTCAAAATAAATGCTTTCATATTTAAATTTATTTATGTTTGAAACATAAACTAAATTAAATTTTAAATCAATTTTTGTATTTCATTTAAACTAATTAAGTATTTTCTGAATAGGCTGTCCGTCCCATACAATCAATGCCAGAATACCTTTCCTGACGGTCCCCTACTGTCCACAAGACCGGCATAATTACAGGACAGCACCTTCTCATCAAACAGTAATCCTGGTCCACACTTTTGGATAGTATTACCCGATTGACTATCACTGCAAATGATGTATTTCCCATTATTGGACGGGTGGCTAATCGTACGGCGGGTGCTCTGGCAGCTGTCATCCTTACAAAGTGCGACTAAATCCAAGTCCGAGTCATCGCTGTCATCGTCGGGAATACATGTGGGAAGAGGTGTCGACTCAGTTGGCTGTGAGGTTGTGATGGTTGTGGTTGTGGTGGTGGACGGGCTCTCAGACTCTGATTGGGTGGTCGTGTCCACTGGTGTTTGGGTTGTGGACTGTTCTGTAGTCGTATCGGATTGAGTGGTTGTGGTGGTGGACGGACTCTCAGACTCTGATTGGGTGGTCGTGTCCACTGGTGTTTGGGTTGTGGACTGTTCTGTAGTCGTATCGGATTGAGTGGTCGTCTCATCCGGTGTTGAAGTAGTAGTAGTAGTCGGCTGTTCACTGGTCTGGCCCTCAGTTGATGGTTGGGCAGTTGGGCTGGCAGTTGGACTGGGAGTCGGACTCTCAGTTGGCTTTTGTGTGGTCTCTACCGGTGCTTCCGATGTCTGTTCAGTAGGTCTAGCGGTGGACCCTTTAGGACAAGTGGAGGACTCGGGATAATCACATCTCTTGATGTTGTCGTTCCACTCGAGCCCTGCCGGACAGGGCATCACCACAGGAGTGCCCGTCTTATTGTCTGCATTCACTGTGCACTGAATGAATGTCTGACAGTTCTCGGGGTTGGGATACAAACAATCTTTGGGTCCTTTGCATCCAGTGTTTGCTATATCCTCTTCCGGACAGACAAACCCTGAACCCTGTGTGG